ATGTATTAGAAACGTTTTGCAAGTCTAGTTGTTTGCAAGTAAATATATCAAAAACAAAAGTCATGGTTTTTAAAAAGGGCAGTCGATTAGCGCGTAATGAATGTTTTTATTTATAATAATCAGCAACTTGAAATAGTTAATTCTTTTACCTATGTTGGAGTAACATTTACATCCACTATGTCGTTAAATATTATGAGCAATGAACTTGCAATGAAAGCTAAACGAGTATTATTTTCTTTACTTTCTTCTTTTGTATGATTATGGACAATTGCCTTCAAACATATTTTTTAAAATTATTTGATACCAAAATATTACCGATCCTTCTGTATGGATCCGAATTATGGGGTTTTAAACCCCGTGAAAATTGTGAGCTTATTCATCGTTTAGCTTGTAAACGATTTTTTATGCGTAAATAGAACATCTAGTAATAATGTAGTATTAGGCGACTGTGGTCGTTATCCAATTTATGTAGAATCTGCCATGCGTTGCATAAAGTACTGGTTCAAATTATTGAAATTACCTAATGACAGATATGTAAAAATTTGTTATAGAATGCTTTCAAGTACAAACATGTGCTAAATATTTTAATTGGGCAAATGAAATTGAACATCTTTTATGTAGTAATGGGTTTGGGCACGTTTGGTTGAACCAAGGAGTTCAAAATGAAAGATTGTTTCTCCATTTGTTTTTGTCAAAGACTTAAGGATAATTTATTTGCAAGGATGGTATAGCAAGTTAGATTCTAGTGATTGTCTCTCATTGTATAAACCGTATTAAAAACAATTATGACCAGGAAACTTATATATCTATCTTAAATATCAGGAAATTCAGACATTGCTACGCTCAATTACGTTCAGGGCTTTCACATTTAGAAGTGACTAAAAAGTCATATAGAAAAATTAACACGAATGATTGGAATTGTAAAAGTATGTTCCTTAGGATTATTTGAAAATGAATTTCACTTTCTACTAGTCTGTCCTGTATACGCAGATTTAAGAGCAAACTATATTGCTAAGAAATATTATACTTGTGCAACAGAGCACAAATTGAATATACTATTATCGTGTAAAAATGAAAATGTTATAAAAAGTCTTGCCAATAATGTTTATCATGCAACAATTCGAAAAAAGATGATTATGCAGTTTTGATTTAGATACGTCTATATTTTATCATTAACAATGTAATTTGTGTGAATTGTTATAATGTATTGATGAGTGTATCCACATAACTTTGTATCCTTTTAATGTTACAATTGTATATGTTATGGGCTGGTGGCCTAAATCAATAAATTCTGTTCTGTTCTGTTCTGTTTAATTTAAATAATATATATTATTCTGAAAATAGTTTTTTATAAAATGCAAAAATATTTCAGTTTTCTTTTTGTACTACTTGATATGAAATTTATTTGCACCAACATCCAGAGAATACAGAATTTACATTGCCTACTTATATTTATCATCTGCATTTTGTTATTTACCCTGAGGGGCTCTCTTACCAGCAGGGTACTATATTAAAACGCCAATACACAGCATGACTTTTGACACTTTAATCTTCTGTAACTGTTTTCTGCTCATGTATGATATTTTATTAAAATAAAAAAAACATGGAAATTTTTTAATTATTTATATCTTTAAAAAGTATGCAAGCATTTCATGGTTGAAAAACATACTATCACAGTGTATAGATTGTTTTAAAATCAATGAATTAATATTTTCTTGTATAATGTGTATAAATATAGAAAAATCTGCTTTAGAGACAATAATATCTAATACGCATTTATGCCATTATGATTTTTTTTGTATATTTGATTATACAAAACTTATGGTCATTTATCTATATGACAAACTAGCCTGAGTGCCAACGCGTGATGAATTCCAGGCTTATGTCTAACATGCATTTTGAGAAAACCAGGGAATTTCAATACATACTTGTAATCTGCAGTAAAAGACAAGCAAAAAATCTTCAAAACATCTTAACCTCTTCAAAGTTCGACATGACAAATAATACTGTAACAACAGTTTCTAAATGCAACAGGAGTAGGTGTAAGACATGTCCTTCTCTAATAGAAGGAAATGAAATACAATTTTGTAACAGTAAGACATTTAAGATAAAACAAAGTATGAACTGTGTTTCAAAAAATGTGATATATTCAATAACTTGTGACAACTGTAAACAGTTTTATATTGGCCAAACAAAAAATGAATTATGTAAACGTATGACTTTACATAGGCAACAAACAAACACTGAAGAACTCAGAATGTTACAAGTAAATAAACATTTACATAATTGTTCAGGAGGTAAATTTAGCATTTTCCCTCTATATAAGATATTAATCGAAAGTGACAATTTTAGAGAAGAAAAAGAAAAACTTTTAATCAAGTTATTAAAACCACAGCTAAATGCTCATTGGTAATAATCGTTTAACAAGGTATATATATACAAGTACTTCATATTTATTACAATCTCTTCATTTTTAATTATGAAAGAAACGATTGCGATTTTATTCAGTCCAATTGTTCGTTTATTTACCAATATTTATTGAGTAAAAATTGTTAATTACCATACAATTTGTGGCCATAAAATCATTAACTTGTGAATTTTATTACCTCCCTTTAATAAATGTCATTAATTCACTGCCAGATTGTACGGATTATGCTCAATGTCCGTAATATTATAATTTTTCAGTATAAATAACCATATTGTGTTTGCCGGGAAATACGTTATCATTTATTCTAACACTCACGTGATTTTGTCACTATAGACAAAGAAGAAAAAAACTGGTGTTAAACTGCCAATATACACCGGTTAGGGACTACTTGTTTATGCGCTGTTATGTTTTCACCCTCGATTGTATAGTTTACAAAGCATTTTAAAGCAATAATAAAAAGCATTTTTATTTATATTGTCAGTTCGTATAATGTTTTCTTTTCATACAATACCGAAATAATATCTCACATACACTAACGCTACATATTAGATCCATATTAGTTAATAAATTTTTTGACAAAACGGCGCCAATCCGTAAGCAGCGTATGACGTCATCCTAAGAAAACAACTCATTCATAAACAAGCTGACGTTATTTCATACATACAAGAATGATAAATGGGGCACTGGTGTAAACACAATACGACGTAAGTTTTTATTGTTGAAAATTTGATAAAATAACGTTTTTTTCTTATATTTCTTTTGTTTGATAATTTCTATATCTTCATAACAGTAGGGTTGCGAAAATCGAACAGCGTTATACGAAAATCGGCACCGGAAGTTATTTCCGCTTGAAAAATAACATTGGTGATTTTCCTTATTTTGTCGTGTCGTTATATATATATATATAATTCTATAAATAGAAACACGCAATTCTAAAAATAGAAACACACAATTCTAAAAATAGAAACATGCAATTCTATAAATAAAAACACGCAATTCTAAAAATAGAAGCTCGCAATTTTATAAATAGAAACACCCAATTCTAAAAATAGTTACACGCAATTCTAAAAATAGAAGCATGCAATTCTATAAATAAAAACACGCAATTCTAAAAATAGAAGCTCGCAATTCTATAAATAGAAACACGCAATTCTATAAATAGAAACATGCAATTCTAAAAATAGAAATACGCAATTCTATAAATAGAAACACGGAATTCTAAAAATAGAAACACCCAATTCTAAAAATAGAAATATGCAATTCTATAAGTAGAATAGAAACACGCAATTCTAAAAATAGAAACTAGCAAATCTATAATAAGGAAACACGCAATTCTATAAATAGAAACACTAATTCTATAAGTAGATACACGCAATTCTGTAAATAGATACACACAATTCTATAAATAGATACACACAATTCTATAAATAGATATACGCAATTTTATAAATAGATACACGCAATTTTTAAAATAGAAACACGTAATTTTAAAAATAGAAACACGCAATTCTATAAATAAAAACACGCAATTCTATAAATAGAATCATTTAATGCACAAATCTGAGAAAATTCAGTAATTTAACCTCAAGGTCAAGGTCAATAAAGAGCCCAAGTCAATTTGGGTTCGATAAACATCAGGTCTGGTCCTTTGGAATGCTCTGTTATAATATGAAGTTGATCCCTTCAATAATAGCAAAGTTACAGTCAGTTACAGCCAAAACAATGAAAATCTCAATAATTTGACCTTCAAAGTGAATGTCATTAATGAGTGAATGTCAAGGTCTGTCAGGTTTTTTTTAAGGGTTATCCTTCACGATTATTATGTTCAAGTTTGAAGACAATCCATTCAAAAATTACAAAGTTACAGCCAATAATAGCAAAAAAATGAAAATTTCAATAATTAGACCTTCAAAGTCAAGGTCATTTATGAGTGAAGGTCAAGGTCTGTCTGATTATTTTTAAGGGATATCCTTGAAGATTATTATGTTCAAGTTTGAAGACAATCTATTCAAAAATAACAAAGTTACAGCCAATAATAGCAAGAACAAGCAAACTTTGGACTTTTAATCTTGAAGGTCAAGGTCATTTATGGATAAAGGTCAAGGTTAGTGTGGTTTACTGAAAGGTCTTGCCCAAAGGGTTGTTGTGGCCAAGTATGAAGACAATACACCAAGAAATAAAAAAGTTATGATCCAGGTACAAATTAACTAAAATGAAGTGTAACACCATTACCCCGATTTAAATGATCACATACTGTTTTCAGTATGCCCGACATATGATCTTCTTCTGGCCCATTAAAACTGATTTTGACTAAATATATTGGTGTTTCCTTGTGTCATACAGCAGAAAATATCTATATGTTACAGCTTGTGACAATTTTTGTGAAATAAGTTGTGATGTCCTATAGACTAATGTTATAATGTATGTGAGACCACCATAGTATATATGTATGTTGTATGTAATATGATACCGGGACTTCCGGAAAAACATGGAACCTTAGTAAACACGATTAAAGCAGAAACATAGTTGTTATCAATTAATATCCACCATTAGGACTTATCATCTGGCGACGAGGATAAAAACAAACAAAACGGAATTACTTATATAATATTTGGATATATTTTTCATGTGTTAATTGATGGATTAAGACGTTAACCATGAACAATTTACCAGCATTTCCAAGTTTTGATCTTGAAACGGATAAATCCAATGCAGGCACGCGTTGGGAGAAATGGATTGGGCGCCTCGAAAATTTATTTGTGGGGATGAAAATATCAAACGCTGACCAGAGAAGAGCATTATTACTACATTACGCCGGAGAAAAAGTGTACGACATCTATGACGTAGAGAAAAAGGACAGCGCAGCGACTTATGACGCAACAAAAAAGGTACTTAGCGACTATTTTGCTCCCAGAAAGAACGTTCAAATTGAAATTTACAACTTTAGATCATACAAGCAATTAGAAGCACAAACGATTGATGAATATGTGACTGAGTTAAGAACTTTGGCAAAGAACTGTGCATTCGCAGACATTGACAATGAAATTTTACAACAAGTGATACAACATGGCCGCTCAAATCAACTCAGAAGAAGAGCGTTACGTGAACCAGATAAAAAGCTCGATGACATTATTACAATGGGACGTATGTTTGAACAATCAGATATGCAAGCATCCGCAATGGAAAATTCAGAAAATTCTAGATCTGTACACAAGGTTTCAAAGTTCAATAGTAGAACACGAGGACGAGCGCCGATGCCTCATGGCCGTAGGAACAGTAGAGGGTCGTATGCAAATTTTGGAGGTCGTGGGAAATATGGTCCGAAGAACCAATCGAATCAACGAAGTAGACCACGTGATGGTGCGTCAGCCAATACTTGCAGAAAATGTGGTTATGAATTCCCGCACAGAGATAAGCCGTGCCCAGCCAAAGGTAAAACCTGCAATGTATGCAAGAAACCTAATCATTTCGCGCGCTGCTGTTTAGCGCCGAAATATCAGCATGTCAAAGAGGTCAGCGATAACGCCAGCAGTTCGCTACAGTTCGATTCGGAAGAGGAGTACCTCTATAACATCACAGTGAAAAATGTCGGTAAACAAAAAGGATCAAAAACGCCCAAAACACAGATAAAAGTCAACGATAAAACGATTACGGCTACAATAGACACAGGATCAAGTGTGAATATACTAGATGAAACTACGTATGATTACTAAGAAAAACCTAAGATGAAAACAAAAGGGCTGCCAAATTTACTTCCATACGGAGGGGGAAGTACATTAAACGTAAAGGGCTGTGTGAATTTAACGGTCGAAAAGAACAGAAAATACACAGTAACACCATTTTATCTTGTGAAAGGAAACCATGGAGCTCTATTAGGGTGTGAAACATCATGTGAATTAGAAATAATAAAAATAAACCAAGGGATAACGGCCAATATGGAAGATAAATATCAAGGAATTTATGACGGTATTGGAAAATTAATTACGCCGGAGAAAAAGTGTACGACATCTATGACGTAGAGAAAAAGGACAGTGCAGCGACTTATGACGCAACAAAAAAGGTACTTAGCGACTATTTTGCTCCCAGAAAGAACGTTCAAATTGAAATTTACAACTTTAGATCATACAAGCAATTAGAAGCACAAACGATTGATGAATATGTGACTGAGTTAAGAACTTTGGCAAAGAACTGTGCATTCGCAGACATTGACAATGAAATTTTACAACAAGTGATACAACATGGCCGCTCAAATCAACTCAGAAGAAGAGCGTTACGTGAACCAGATAAAAAAAACTCGATGACATTATTACAATGGGACGTATGTTTGAACAATCAGATATGCAAGCATCCGCAATGGAAAATTCAGAAAATTCTAGATCTGTACACAAGGTTTCAAAGTTCAATAGTAGAACACGAGGACGAGCGCCGATGCCTCATGGCCGTGGGAACAGTAGAGGGTCGTATGCAAATTTTGGAGGTCGTGGGAAATATGGTCCGAAGAACCAATCGAATCAACGAAGTAGACCACGTGATGGTGCGTCAGCCAATACTTGCAGAAAATGTGGTTATGAATTCCCGCACAGAGATAAGCCGTGCCCAGCCACAGGTAAAACCTGCAATGTATGCAAGAAACCTAATCATTTCGCGCGCTGCTGTTTAGCGCCGAAATATCAGCATGTCAAAGAGGTCAGCGATAACGCCAGCAGTTCGCTACAGTTCGATTCGGAAGAGGAGTACCTCTATAACATCACAGTGAAAAATGTCGGTAAACAAAAAGGATCAAAAACGCCCAAAACACAGATAAAAGTCAACGATAAAACGATTACGGCTACAATAGACACAGGATCAAGTGTGAATATACTAGATGAAACCACGTATGATTACTTAGGAAAACCTAAAATAAAAACAAAAGGGCTGCCAAATTTACTTCCATACGGAGGGGGAAGTGCATTAAACGTAAAGGGCTGTGTGAATTTAACGGTCGAAAAGAACAGAAAATACACAGTAACACCATTTTATATTGTGAAAGGAAACCATGGAGCTCTATTAGGGTGTGAAACATCATGTGAATTAGAAATAATAAAAATAAACCAAGGGATAACGGCCAATATGGAAGATAAATATCAAGGAATTTATGACGGTATTGGGAAATTAAAAGGACAAAAAGTCAAATTACACATAAACCGTGATGTAAAACCTGTAGCGCAGAGAAATCGACGTACGCCATTTCATTTAAGAAAGAAAGTTCAAAAGGAAATTGAAAAGCTACTTGAAAATGACATCATAGAAGAAGTTAAAAATGAATCAACACCATGGGTGTCACCGATTGTCACCCCACCGAAGAAAAATGGAGATGTAAGATTATGCATAGACATGAGAGAGGCAAACAAAGCTATTGAAAGAGAACGGCATCCAATGCCAACAATAGATGAACTTATACACGACATGAACGGTGCAAAAGTGTTCAGCAAACTAGATTTAAAAGCTGGATATAATCAGCTGGAATTAGATGAAGAATCGAGATCAATCACTACATTCTCTACACACATGGTCTTATACAGATATAAACGTTTGAATTTCGGTACTAACTCTGCAAGTGAAGTGTTTCAGAAAACAATCAGTTCCATCATTCAAGACATAGCTGGTGCCAAGAATATTTCGGATGATATAATAGTGTATGGAAACAGTCAAAAAGATCACGACAAGGCACTTGATCAAGTTTTTCATGCATTGCATCGTAACGGGCTGACATTAAATAGAGAAAAATGTGAATTTAGCAAGCTTGAAATCACATTCTTTGGAGTTGTATTCAGAGGAGACGGCATTTCACCAGATCCAGTGAAGGTTCGAGCAGTGAGAGACATGCAACAGCCCACAAACGTATCTGAATTGAGGAGTTTTCTCGGAATGACATCGTATTGCTCGAGATTTATAAAGGATTATGCGACAATAACGGAACAGTAAAAGAGTGTTTCAGCAAATATGGTCATACCGGTTATGGACAAAATAATTTCAATGTTTGGTGTCCCCAAAGTGATTAAAACAGATAATGGATCGCCATTTAACAGTACGGCATTTGCGGACTTTGCAAAATTTTACGGTTTTATACACAGCAAAATCACGCCTAGGTGGCCAAGGGCTAATGCTCAGGCAGAAGCATTCAACAAACCGTTGATGAAGAGTGTTAAATCGGCATTCATGGAGGGAAGGAATTACAAACAAGAACTGTTCAGATTTCTCCGCCAGTACAGAGCTACACCGCACGTGTCAACTGGATTTACGCCATTTCGGCTAATGTTCGGAAGGGAACCGGTAACGCGTATGCCAGACATTAATCAACACCAAAATGAGGACACGCGTGCAGACGAAATAGCACGAAGAAATGATGAGTTATCAAAAGCAAAATCAAAACAATACGAGGACCAGCGAATGAACGCACGAGAACGAAACATTAACGTCGGAGACAGAGTTTTACTTAGAAACGAAACACCAAGAAAGTCAAATACAATGTATAATCCAGTCCCATATAAAGTTATAAACAAAAAGGGACCAATGATAAGTGTTCGAAATGATGAGGGCATTGTGTCACCAGGAACTCATCTGTTATGAAAACAGTAGATCCAGACTTAATGGGGAATACGCCTAAACAGCACGGGGAAAGCGATATTGAGGACTATCAGGGGGAGGAACTCGCTGAAAGACAAAACACGAGTTATGCGGCAAGGCCAGCACGAGATAGTCGTCCGCCCGCATATTTAAAAGATTTTGTAAGTTAGATTATTGGTTCCACAGTGAAAATGGGCATAATAAACCCAGTGGAACAAGCAGGTCACGCGATCTGCCATGCGAGTTTAATAAGTGTATACATCATGGATATATTTTATGTAATTAGATTCTCAATAGAAAAATTAATACGTAATAGCGCAATAGTAACATGACACCTTATATACGGCAACATGATTTAAATGACAATTTTTAAAGTACATTGAAGTTCTAATATAGTGTGGACATTAACAATGCATTTAACAACAAATATTTAAGAGAAAAATAAACAAATTATCAGATTTAGATCAAGATAAATATTCATGTTTGTATAGTGTAAATGTTCGATATTGCTCATGTAGTGGATATATTTAGATACTGTAGACTATAATAAAACTGACCTACAAACGATTGGAATGTGTTAACAGCCATGAGTGAACATTTCTAGAGAAAAAAAGTTAGGATGAATTTTACAGTTAGACTTATTATATGTATTCCATCGTAATCAAATAATTGTAAGAATAGTTTATCATGTTTAGTAATATCAGTTTACATAACTATAATATAATATTTTCATAATTCATATCTTAATGATTTAAGCATTTTGATTGTTCAATTTAAAACTGATGTTTTATATCTAACTTGAGGAGGGATGTGATGTCCTATAGACTAATGTTATAATGTATGTGAGACCACCATAGTATATATGTATGTTGTATGTAATATGATACCGGGACTTCCGGAAAAACATGGAACCTTAGTAAACACGATTAAAGCAGAAACATAGTTGTTATCAATTAATATCCACCATTAGGACTTATCATAAGTTACATTTGTTTTTATTTGTTTGGGTCGTCAGACCAAACAAATAATGGTAGTGAAATTTCAGACTCTAATGCTGTTAATTGCAAGTGCCGAAAGTAGTCCGCTTTTTTTTGAAGCGGTTACTTCCCTTTATATGTAACACTTCAAACTCCTCGCAGCGGTTACTTCCCTTTATAAGTACACTGGTATTTCACTGAAACAACGTCAGGGGCTTAAATTCAAAACAGTGAAATTATCAAAGTGGTAATTTCACTGTTTCAAACAGTGAAATTACCAGTTTTATATCACTGATATTTTTCTATAAACCACAGAAAAGCATGTAATAAAATTGTTATTACTCTTTATTTTCATTGTACAGATACCCATTTACATTCCTGTTTTGTGTGTGCAAATAAAACTTAAAAATGTTTATTGTAATTACTTGTGGTTTGTTGAATTTTTTTCCTTCGTTTATTTGTGACTATTATAATCACATTATAAAAATACAAAAGATCTATTAATGCACAAATTTTACAGGATACTTTCGGAATGGTACTTATGCAACTGAGAAAACTTATACTTGATTAAGAGCAAAGCCAAAAGTAAATTATTTCACTTTTAGTTTCATAACTGGCTGAAGAAAATATCCACTTTCAGTTGGGGCTAGGCATAGATTCCATGGACTATGCAAAGGAAGAACTAAAACGTTATATAATTACTACTGTTTCAACATTTCATTGTTGAATAATAATAAAATAAACTTTTACGGCCTACGGATATGTCACTTGGCGTCTGTAGATACGGTGTCTCGGTAGAAAATATGCTCATAATTTTTAAAATTATTTCTAAATATTCATATTATTTAATTATTTATCCATAAACATTGTTTAATCAATTTTAGAAAACTTATCTGATAGATAAAAGCAGTAAATAAAACAATTTTTGAAAAAATATAGTATATCAGAAATTCTGATATATTGGGGACCTTGGTGGCAGAGATCTAAGCCGAAGAATTAAGGGGAGATCACTGTGTGGAGATTGGTAACACTTAGGCCGAAAATTTTAGGGGAGATCACTGCGTAAATATGGTCACATGACAGGCGGATTAATTTTCAAGCAAAATAATTCCCGAATGGTCGAAGATTTCTAATATTGTTTTATTATTTATAAATATACATGCTTATAGTAAGCGCCATGATTATTTACACAAGTGTTATACAACATTCTAACACTATCGGAATTTTTTCTATATAAACAAAGAAGGCCCGAAGCGTGCATTATTCTGCAACAATGCACTCGCCGTTCTTATTA